CGGGTCCTGGCCCCCCCAGGCCGCACCATCCTCCTGTCCACGCACCACATGGACGAGGCCGACCTGCTCGGGGATCGCATCGCCATCATCTCCCACGGGAAGCTCAAGTGCTGCGGCTCCCCGCTGTTCCTCAAGGGCGCCTACGGGGACGGCTACCGCCTCACGCTGGTCAAGCGTCCTGCGGAGCCCGGGACCCCCCAAGGTCTGTGCTGAGGCCCCCGGGCCCCGGGACCCTGCTCCCAAGGCTGTGAGGTAGCGGGGCTGCACCTCGGCTTTGCCCCGTGGGCCCAGGAGGCCCCGGGCCCCCATCTTGACCTGGCTGTACTCCCAGGGAGGGTCCCTCCCCGGGCCCCGAGTGAAGCCCCTACTCCCCTATCCTCCTAGGGCCAGGGCTGACGTCCAGCCCCCCAGGTCGGGTCCAGCTGAGCAGCTGCTCAGAGCCCCAGGTTTCCCAGTTCATCCGCAAGCACGTGGCCTCCTGCCTTCTGGTCTCTGACACAAGCACCGAACTCTCCTACATCCTGCCCAGCGAGGCCGCCAAGAAGGGGGCCTTCGAGCGCCTCTTCCAGGTGGGAGGGCAGGGCCAGGCTTCCCTGGGGCCTGAGGAGGTGGGGGAGGCTGGGTACTGGGGCCCCGGCAGAGGGGCAGGGCCCCTGGAGGGGTGGCGCTGGTGGAGGGGCAGGGTCAGTGGAGGGGCAGGGCCGGTGGAGGAGGGGGTGGGCAGTGAAGGGAAAGGGGTGCACTCCCCCCTCTGGCCCACGCTGGTGGCCTCACCCAGCACTTTTCACAGCACCTGGAGTGCAGTCTGGATTCGTTGCACCTGAGCAGCTTTGGGCTGATGGACACCACGCTGGAGGAGGTGTTCCTCAAGGTGTCAGAGGAGGACCAGTCTCTGGAAAACAGTGAGGCAGGTGAGAGGCAGGCCCCACAGCCGCTGATGAGCCCTGCTCCACCCCACCCACCAGGCCTAAACTTGGGCCTGGGGCTCCTCACTCCTCCCGTCTCTAGTGGCCCAGCGTCCTGAGTGGGAACCTCAGGGGTCAGCGCAGGGTCTGGGGTCTGAGGTCCTGGGCAGGCCTGCAGGTAGCAGGCCGTCCTGAGCCCCTCCTTTCTTGTGGCAGATGTGAAGGAGTCCAGGAAGGATGCGCTGCCTGGAGCGGACGGCCTGGCTCCGTTAGGCGAGGCTCATGCAGGCAACCTGGCCAGGTGTGCAGAGCTGGCCCAGTCACAGGCGTCGCTGCAGTCTGCGTCCTCGGTGGGCTCTGTCCGCGGGGACGAGGGAGCTGGCTATGCTGATGTCTATGGCGACTACCACCCCCTCTTCAACAACCTGCAGGACCCCGATAACGTCAGCTTGCAAGGTGGGGGGGCAGCTGGATGGGGCCAGGTGGAGTTCCCCGAGAGTGGTGCTGGGCAGCTGGCTTAGCTTGGCCTCCTCTCTGCGCAGAGGCCGAGGCGGAGACCCTCACGAGGGTGGGCCAGGGCAGCCGCAAGCTGGAGGGCTGGTGGCTGAAGGTGCGCCAGTTCCACGGGCTCCTGGTGAAGCGTTTCCACTGTGCCCGCCGCAACTCCAAGGCGCTGTCCTCCCAGATCCTGCTCCCCGCTTTATTCGTCTGCGTGGCCATGACTGTGGCCCTCTCCGTCCCCGAGATCGGTATGGCTGCTTGACCAGGCAGAGGGGCGCCAGGGCTAGTGTCCAACGCTATGGGACTGTGGGGGACCCACCCCGCTCAGAGACTGGAGCTATGTCTGAGACTGGCAGGCACACCTGGGGATCCCTGCCTCCCTGGGGCCCAGATCCAAGCTTGGACCTTATGGGTACTGGGAAAGGAGGTCTGGGCCTAGGGCTGCAGGCTGGCCGTCAGCACTTGCTGAGGCTTCTGTGCACACCCCACTAGGTGACCTGCCCCCGCTGGTCCTGTCACCCTCCCAGTACCACAACTACACCCAGCCCCGCGGCAACTTCATCCCCTACGCCAACGAGGAGCGCCGGGAGTATCGGTGAGGCCGCCCACCAGGTAGCTGTGGTGGGCAGGGGCCTGGATCGAGCGTGCTGAGAGGGGTGGGCACCCATCTCCCCACCTGGACTTATGCTGCGGTTTCCCCCAGATTTCAGCTGTCACCCGATGCCAGCCCCCAGCAGCTCGTGAGCACGTTCCGGCTGCCGTCGGGCGTGGGCGCCACCTGCGTGCTCAAGTCTCCAGCCAACGGCTCCCTGGGGTCCACGCTCAACCTGAGCAGCGGCGAGTCACGCCTGCTGGCTGCGCGGTTCTTCGACAGCATGTGCCTGGAGTCGTTCACGCAGGGGCTGCCTCTGTCCAACTTCGTGCCCCCCCCCCC